GCATCCCTCCAAAGCTACCACAGCACTAGGTTTAAGATCTAGAACAATTGCACGAGCACCTGTAACAGCAGCATGCTCCACTTTCCCGCCAAGATCTGACTTCATGACGCTCAAAAACCTGGAATTATGGTCAAACCCGATTTGACTTAAATCTACAAAACACCTTCAAGCCTCAAAGGCTGGAGTCTTACCCAAACGAAGCTGACCATCTCAAGCCGGATTGAAATGGTGTTTGTTCGTCAAACATCTCTATGCTGTTTGGCTGGATTTTTGAACATACTGCCGTGGTACTTCTAAAAGACACTGCTGCATTTACTAATTGTCTCGTTCCCGTCCTCTCTGGGAGGGACTGCCACTCTTATTCTAAGCAACACCGATCAAGAACTGTCCGAAGCCTGTAGCAATTCAGCGATGAGTTTTCTTCATGTCATTCAAATTGACCCCTCCCCTCTGCGGCACGGGTAGTTTCCTTTTTTCTCACCGCCTGTGGCGTGGGTGATCGGGCATGGACCATCCCTATGACTGCCCGCACTTTTGAGGTCGGCGACATCGAGACAGCTGCAAGAATGCGACCAAAATAATCTCTCTGAATGTTGGCATTATTGAGGCAACATCTGAATACCAGGACCCATGTTGCACAGCATTCGCACCTCAGCGGGCGCCAGAAAAAACTGTTCGTCTTCTTTTTTCTTGCGTCGCATTGATTTTTGGCTTGATGCTACAAACCGACATCCAGCCGTACCTGCCCACTACCCAGTCGAAAAGGATCCCCAGCGCACAGCGGCTGGTGCTCTTTGAATTCCCACCCCAGACACTGTTTACTGCGGAAGAAGGCTTCATGTTGCTGACAAGCTTCATCAATCTGCTGCCTTCGTTGCAGAAGGCTCTGCAGAACACCGAAAGCCTGTTGCCACCGACCTGTCCTTTCCAAGACATGAAGAATGCTGTTGTATGCAATGAGGTCAGCCTCCAACTTGTACCTGTTGTGATCTTCGAGAAGCAGAACGGCATGCAGCCAGGTTGAAGCAAACTCACAGCACTGAATGGAAGTGGACAGCGTGATCACATCAGCCAGCAAAGACCGTAGTTCCAGGCCCTGCAGGAGGAGCAAGGCTTTTTGCCACTGGGCGGCTGCTTTCAAAACACTGATGGTGGAGTTGTAGCTAATCACATCTGCTTCGGCTTGGCTCCTTTCAAAGTTCTCGAGAAGTGATAGCGCTTGAAGCCAGTCTCCTTCGGTTCTGCAGCCCGAGATCGCTCGGTTCAATTTTGTTAGCTCTGCAAGCATTGTCGCTCTGATGCATCCATGTGCAGCTGGAACCGAGAAGCATTCGCATATTTGAGTGGAAAATCTGCTGCAACAGCAAACCATAATTTGGTCCTTGGAATGCAGACTTAAAGAAACTGGTCCTCTGGGAAGTTCTAAATCCCGTGAGTGCCTTGGCCACGTTCATCGACTCGCTGAAGCCCTGTGCCTGATTGATGACATGCCATGTGTAGCCACGTAGCCAGACAGTCAGAACCTCAACAGCCTGCCCTGGCTGCCCTGGCCTGGATGGCCGAGCCAGCACTTGGTGGTGCCTTGGCCCAGGCGTTCAGCAGGCTTTTTTTGAGTGTTGCTAAAACGGGATTAAAACCCGTGAGGTGCAAGCAAGCCGGCTGCCGCCAGAGCTTGGAGGACTCTTTGCAGGCCTGGAGACAAGCAGAGCTTTCTCAGACCTGCATGCATGCATCGGACAGCGCTTCTCTTGGCACCTTACGTGGCACTCTGAGCAGGAAAACTCGCTCCGCTTGCAGCGCTTCCTGCTACACTTCGCGTGTGAAGTTCTTTGAGGACATTGCCGAATCTCACGAAAGAATCAGCCAGAAAAGCTTAGGGCGCTTCAAGGAAGGCCTGCTCGGACACTGCTGGAACCACGTTGGTAAGGTACCTGCTGTCCAGCCGGATCACTTCGAAAGCGCTGTTAAAGATCCGTATTGTCTACGATCCATATATCCACATATCGGGTTGCCATGTGGCCGCACAGCTTGCGAGTATGACTGTAGCCGTACCAAGCGCATTGAGATGACTCAAGAATGGACTAAGTGAGGTCTTTAATGAGCAGGGGCCTCTTAAGAAATCCAGGACACCTCCGAGTGAGTTGCGGAGCCTCAAGACCAGAATTTGAAGTATCCTTGGACATCGGGTGTGTATCTGTTGCAGTATCGGTTGCAAGAGCGATAAAGCCTCGCGAAGGCGACGACAAAGCAAGCTATGATTCTGCCAGCATATTCCAGGCTATCATTGAGGGGTATCGATCCACTCATTTCCAAGCTTGACTGGCTAGGCCTGCTAGTGATCCCACACTCTAGGATACGGAAATTCCTTCGTCAGCCCTCTCTCTTGAGTAGTGCGAGTTCGTCGTGTGGTTGGGGTTGTGTCAAACCATGTCATCCGTGCATCTTCCATCACTGTCCGCCCCCTCTTATGCAAAGTTTCTGTATAAGTGCTGCCATGAAGGACCCGAGCTTGAACAGCGTGTTCGTTTTCTTGCCGCCGAACGCATAACCAACAACCAATCAAGATGCGCAATCACCTCGAAGCTGGTTCCATCGGCGTCTCGCCTACAAAGCAATGGATGCAACTTAACCGGACAGCACAATGAAAGAATGCCTCTGCAGAGCTGGCAGAGATTGCCAAGCTTGGTGGGTTCTGGCTTCTTGCTGATTCGGATTCAACCTTCTTGAAGAAAAAAATCGTGAACTGCAAGATCTTCAGCACAGCAACAGTCATTCTGTTGAGAAGTTGAGCTAATGGCTCGTCGGCATCAAAACCGAGGTCAAATGGCGCCTAAACACAAATCGTGGAATGCGGAACCACATGTCTCATGAGTCAAGGCAAGGAAGTACACAGACTGAACATTTTGGAATGCTCCTGGAAAGATCACATCCAATTCCATGTTAAGCCCCTCAGCCTGTAGATCTACTGGCATGTTGAGGAAAGGATCTTGGCGCCTGTACAGGCGCAGGCGGTGGAGTCAATTTGGAGGTTGCTTTGGACGTCGCTTTGGACGTCGTGCTGCTTGCAGCAGAGCGTGGTGCCTCTGCAGGACGATTTGGAATCTCTTGCTTCTGTGTTATTACGAGTCGGACCTGGCTATTGAAACTTTGGCCTAACAAAAACGCCCAAAAAAAAATCCTCACAACATTTCTGGAACACTGAGGCGCATGCCCCGCGACGAGCACGGGGTTCCTGATTTCGAAGAAAGTCCGGCAATTCCTCGGCACCGGACTCTGGCAGACATGCAATTTTGCGGCGCTCAGCAGCTTGGATGTGTCTGTCGTGCTACATGCGCATGAGCATTGCCAGCTGCCATTCGCAAGCTTGGAAATCTACGCTTCCCCGCCAAGCACAACATGTAGCCTGTGTGAGGTGCCTGTAGATGGTGGTAGATGCACAGGCCAGACATGTCTGGGCTGCCGCACATCATCGCTGCCAGGTGCTTGTTTGCTTGCAGGCGTCGTCACCTGCATGCTATGAGCTACGATTCTGTCCAGCAACATCCGATGCATCACAGCCTTCTTGAATGACAACCGCAGTCTTCAAACCACTGGCATAGACATTGTTAACTTAGGTACTTAAAACATGTCTTCAACCCTGCAGCCTTCGGCTCCTCTCTTACCTCAGACCGTGGTTTGGAGAAACTCCGCGCTGGTGGCGACGAATTGTCCTACACCAAATTCTGAATCATCGGCTAAGCCAACAGCACTCTTGACTGACAAACCCGCCAAACACCACCATACATGCACATGCGGCCTGTTCCTAGGGAGCAATCACATAAATCAATGACTACAGAAAGACGGCACGACCTGCAGGAGGTCGTCCAACAGGCCACTGTCATGCTCCCTGAGACAGATACCACAGCAAGGTCTGACTGCCTTTGTCAGGACTGAGCAGGCAGGGTCCCTAACTCTTCAGACAATTGCGGAGCTGCAGGACGTGCTGGTTGAGGCTGTGCCAGCCTGGGCTGAGGCAGATTGATTCACCCCCATGCAGGGGCTTAGCCTCTAGCCACTACACTGCTAAAACATCCAGCAATCCAGAAGCAGGCACTGGCTTTTTCTGGGAGGGTGCTGAGTCAATACCTGCGGCTGTTGTAGCCTCAGGAAGCCTTTCTGGCAGACACCTTAAACTTGCCCTGCGCCACGCTGCAGCGCCTTAGGGTCCTGAATTGGGTGGCCTAATGCCGCTGCGGGCTCATAGGCGCGGGAATGCGCGGGAGTTCATGGGAAACCAGGTCAGCACCTCTCTCAAGGTCAAATTGTGGTGCATGTTATGCTCCAGACATGGAATCCATCTCTATGCAAAGGGCACAGGAGCTTTGTGTGCACCCTTGGCCGCCTGTGAAATCTACAGCCAACGATGGCTGTTCTGCCAATATGCCCTTCTTGATGCTGGAAGCAATGGCAGTCACCACCGTAGGCGCAGTGCCCGTTGCCGCCTCAACTACGCAAAGCCGCGATTGAAAGCACGGTTAGCAGTGCCAAAACGGACAGGAATCTGCACATACTTAAGCCGTCGGAATTTTGTAGTTGAAGCTAGCCGTCTTCTCCGACTGCTCTGTGAACAGATCCCATCCCCAAATCCAGGCAACGCCCAGAGATAGACGACGTCCGCGAGGCATGCTCAAGCGACCTCCGGTTGAAATCTGCTCGTCCAAACAATGCCCCGGAGGCTGGAGCAGTAAACTTGCCAACTGAAACTGCTGGAAAAGTCATGGGCCTGGCACTGAAAAGCCCCAGACCAGGAATGATTACTTCCCAGTAGCAGGACTATGCGCCACCCTCGTGGTGTGGAAACTTTCGTTCATGCCTGACGCTGCGTTATGCTGTTTGACAGCGCGCGTCACAAGGCTGAATGGCTCTTACTTGAATTTCTGCAGTGTGACCTGCAAAAGGAGCAGGCAGTAAAAAAAAACAAGCGCGCGGGCCTGTCCCTCTCGCATCTTTGGCGAGGGTAGTTATGGCCGGGCCACCTGGCCCATGTGTTTCACATGACGCACGTCCACGGATGCATGCTGGCTGGCCCAAGTCAGCAAATCGCTGAAGGTCATGTGCCGAAGCAGCCTGATGAGATCCCACAAACATGTGAGATCATGTGAGCAGCTATCTAGATGGGCTGCATGACAAAAACATCCACTCAACTGCGCCTGTTGATTTGTCGAAGGTCTTTGGATGGAATTGTCAGCGGGCTCTGGGACAAAAGTGGCAAGCACTGCTCCAACTGCTCGAGCACAGCCTGAAGCAAACGTGGTAGCTATAAGAAACTTCTAACACTTCTTGTGCACCCCAACCTTGTCTTCGGGCAGCTTACTTTGAGTTACTTGAGCATGGAGGTGCGGGAGCAGCATGGCCAAGACATCTGCCGCGCTCAATGCACGGATCAACCTCCTCTGCTTTTGGTTCAAAGATGTTCTCCGGCAAGGCTGGCAGACGACATGGGAGTCATCGACGTCAGAGCCTTGACAGCCAGAATCCATGTCTGCATGGCTGCACGCAGATGTCTTCGGGGAATTGCCCTGTTTGACTTCTACAGGAGGTTGGAATTGTGCCGCCCGCTCGACGAGTTCCAATGTGCGCTGCCGGTCGCGGAGGTATATCGTTGTGCAAGGTCGCCGGGTTGAAGCTTGCATCTGTGCAGTCTCCATCTTGAAGCTTAAAATTGCGTTACCATTGCGCTTCGCGATGAAAAAAGCTATCTCCGTCCGCACTGCAACCAAATGCTGTTGCATTCCGAAAATACTTGGCTGGAGCAATAGTCAAACAGACGTGTGGTTGATGTAAGCTTCACGCGCAGGTGCATCAAACGGTGCAGTTCCTTGAAAGCCAGAAGCGCATGTTCTAAAAATCCTCTCTGAGCAACACAAGCACGATTAAAGATCCCACCTCCACTGGCTCCACCGACATCCTCAAAGCTAGGAAAATCAGCTATTTTCTTAGGGCCGTCGTTCAGACTCCGACCCGTGACCGAGGAGGTGGAGTGCCGGAGCCTGCAACACCAGAGCTCTGGCAGAGCCATGGGGGTGAAAGCCCAGGCCAACGCCAGGAAACGTTAAACGGCCGTGCACAAGAAGTTATAACACTTCGTCAACTAGGAAAATCTGTTCACCACCAGATAAGCAAGTCAAAGCTGCTCAAAAGGGGCGCCCAAAGATTTTTCGGAAGAAGACGTCCAGGACCTTCCTTCACATCTGCGCAAAACAAGGAGGAGACACGGAGCGCAAATTCCGAAAAGCTCCGTTTACCAATGCAAACACCTTGCCGCTATTAGTTGCCGCCGCCCTGATGTAGTCGCCTTGTTTGTGTTCTACAGGCTGAGGAAGAGCAATGGCCAGACAGCGAGCTAATGTGCTGCTACAGAAAGATATTAAGAAGCTACCAGCAATCTATTCAGAACACCAACCTGACGCGGCTTAACAGCCACAAGAAAATCATGAAAGGCAAAACAAAGACAAACGAAACCCAACTCATGCGCAAACCAAAACCAAAACAAAAAAGCTGAGAACCAAGTCGAAAAAAAGAGAATAAAAAAGACAAACATAAATCTCATCGACAAGCCGCCAAAAAAGACAGCAAGCCAGGACAAGTTGGTGCAGAAACCTTGAACCCTGCTGCGTGTTCGTTTGAGAATGGTATTGGCTGTGGGTACGGAGATCACCAGGTGCACTTTGCTAAGATGTTGTGCGGTTGTGCTGTGCAATTCTGCAGCCGGACACGCTCGGGCTGCGAGCTCAGAGCAAGCAGCGGCGGAATTTATTGGGGTTGTCTTGGGTTGTCTTGGGATAATGGAAAATATGATCGAAACTACATATAATATATATATATAGGGTTTAGGGTTTAGCACAGCCGGCTGGGGCTCAACTTTTTCCTAGCTTTCTGGGCCAGCATAGAACATTTGTTTCTCTTTTTTTTGCTGCTTAACTTGTTCTAGTTTGTTTTCTGGCTTTTCTCTGGCGCATGGCGAGCAACTCCAGAAATTAGCTTTCCCTTAGGAAATGGCTACAACAAAGCTACAAAACAAAGCTGAATTTTCTAGAGTTCCAGGAGATGGCCCTCCAGGCGCCAGAGAAAGGCGAAACTTGAAAAACAAACCTGAAACAATCGTTTAAACAAACTAGTGAAAGAATGTTCTCTATGCTGGCCCAGAAAGCTGGGCCCCAGCCGACTGCGCCAAAGCTATAAAAATGCTTCAGTCCGCTGGAGACGGGACGCCAGACCCGAGGTTACACCGCTGCTTGCCACGCCGGCTGCAACTTTGACTTTACACATACTTTAGGTGGACCCCCCCACCCAGTCATAGTGACTATAATTGATAATAAGGACCATATTAGGGTCCTCTTATATTCCCATTATACCACTATTACAGGGTGGGGGGTCCTCCTAAGACATACTACTAGGCACTGGGACTGAAAAGCCAGCAGAAGCTAGGCGTCTGGGTAAGGAGAAACATAATATCAACAGAAGCTGGCCGCCAAATACATGTTTGGCCATTAGATGTCTTCTAGCTTTCCCAAACCTATCGCTGGTGCTTTGCAGGTCGTTTTTTCCGCAGTTTTTCCGAGCCTTGCTGTTGTCCCAAGAGAAGGCCTGGTAGCTTTCCTGCAGCTTTCCTTGCTGCTCTTGGAGGTTGACTTGGCTGTCCTATAGATCGTTTTTAGCTTCAAGGGGGCCTCTCTGTGGCAACGCACTTAACCATAGGCACCAGCCTCCCACTGCCTCATGACCAACCAACACCCAAGGGCCCCAAATCACAGCAGCAGTGGCATCGGCCGATAATCGGGAACATCAGCAACTCTTTTGAAGATGACACTGGGGCCTTGCAGGCGCTTGGCACATAAAAGAAATGCCAAGCCATGTACTGCCAGGAGAAAAACTTGCAAAGTTATATCTCATATCTTCACTGGCAGAGCCCAATGCTCCAACCAGTCGACATGCTCCCCTTCACCAAAGAGAACATCTACAATGAAGTGAGACTGTCTGGGCAGTAAGGCTTTATGTACTCTTTATGCTTGCTGCCATTCTGAAAGTAGGCTGCGCGTACTGCGGAACTATTGCACTGCTTGGCGTTTCTGACCAGGACCCAGAAGGGGAGAACAAACAGGCAACCGGAGGGAAAGGGGCAGGAAAGGCGTGGGACATAGAGGAAGAGGAGGAAGGAGGACAACGCAACCCCGCAAGAACACCCAGAACAGAAAGATGAAGAGTATGGGGACTATCGATCTCGAGGGGCGAAGCTGCTGGATCCTGGAAGCAGGGCGGACATCGGCCCCAGCCCACCACGAAAGAAAAGCAGCAAGGCATCAAAACCACCCGTAGCCGCGGCACCCAGCAAAACATGGAAGGGAAAGCAGGAGATGGATGAGTAAGAGGGCGGAGAAGCCACTTGATGCCGAGTCTGACAGTCCCCCAGCATCACACACAAAAGCCATCAAAGTCCCCAAGAAGAGGAAACTATCCCGATGGGAGTAGACTGGAGTGCCGAGATCTCGAACCCCGAAAATCTCTGACAGCCCTGACCGGCTGCAAATGCTGCAAAATCCACGGAAGCCAATACCCTCGTTCCTGACTGGTACGTTGACAGTTTAGGAGCTACGAATAAGAATCGAACATGTGTTGCAACAGCAACCTCGCAGCAGAAAGTTGTATCTGCAGAGCCAAATACCTGAATGAAGTGATCAGCGCAATCGCGCTGGAATGTGTCCGACGTTCGCTAGTTCCATGAAATGATAATCTGAAGCATGAACAAGGATTGCCTGAAATGATGAGGTGTTTGAGTACTGCAGTGCCTCATCGGATCCATCTGCTCCGCAAAACTGCTGGACAACTGAGAAGAGCTTGGGTTCAAATATCAAGAGACCAGAATCATGCAACAGAAACCTACTTGCCGTCTGGCTAAGACATGCTTCTGGATCGAACAATACATACAAACAAAGCTTAGCTGGCAGGCAGGCAACATGAAAAAACTGAACAGAAAATCCAAAATGGCTCGTCTGTGCCACGTACAACTCATGCGAGTACATACCCATGCACGGCTCTAAAGCACTCTGATACTTGCGACTTGACGTGCTTAAGCAACAAAGGAATTTTGTGCAAGGCCATAACTCCTTCCTTGACACGTTGCTGCTGTAGTTGGCTGACTAGCTGGTCAGCTTACACAACTTACTAGATACAGGGAAATTACGGCTTTCAATGTGATCTACAAGCAGGCCTGCAGTCACAGAGTCCCCGTCTGGAAGGTCCACACCAGGTGTCATGACCTTTCTGCAATTCTCACGATGTGGTTGGTAAGTATTCTTCTGTGTCATGATGTCGAAAAAGACTGACATATTGCTTACATACAAGAACTTGGCTCGTGGCCCTTGAAGATGCAGGCGACGCCTGACAAGCCGATATGGACGACGTCTCTGCAGTTGCTAATCAATGACATGATCTTCCGCGGTAAAGGCCCTCGCCTTCGCCTTTGTTCCGAGGCGTCGCTTAGGGCGTGCCTGAAGCCTGGGATTCTGAACTGGCAACACAGTGTCTCCAGCAGCTCTACATGAGCCTGCGATGCAATGGAACTAAAAACGCAACAAGATACTGGCTCATGGGCTCTCTTGGACACCCGGCGACAGCTCCACTTCCACAAGAGAGGAAGTCGCCTGGCAGGCAAGTGCTCTTCCGGAAAGCCGTTGTGGGCGCTAGCACCACTTTGGGGATCTGGTGAATTAGGTTGTTTTCGACATGCTGATGAACATATGAAAAGAAATTCAACGCTGACAGGCAGGTACCCACAGCACAGCCGATGACACCCAACAACAAGCGCAGCACAAAAACCGGCTGTGGTGGCAATGGTTGTTGCCCTTATGTTGACCATGAATGTAGCACCACGCCTCAGCAGCACCAGACCTTGCAGCAGCTTGACAATTGACAGTAGGATCTAGGGGCTTGTCGAAATGTAAGGCGGTCTAACTGTTTTTTGGGACTGCTCAATGCGGGTTTGCAGCAGAAACCGGATCCTGAGATACTGCAATGGACGTCTCGACTCTACTGGGCACAGCAAACCACGCAACAATCATGCCTCATGATGCCTCACACTGATGCGCCCACCAATTCATGCTGATACCTCGCGGCAGTCACACGTTGATCCTGCCAGTCTTGCCGAGGCGTGGAGAGCAACCTCACTCCCCTGCCAAAAGAGCAACTTCCGTCTTGATCGCAGTCCACAAGCGAATAACAATGTGTATCCCGCGTCAGTCC